TATTTCTCTAAATTTTTTAAATGCTTCCAGCTCTTCAGTTTCTGAATTCAGAAAACAAAATATACTTCTGGTGACAATTAAAGGTTATTAGCTCTACTTTTTCTGTTTTTCAGTTGCTACATCATGAAAACCATTCTAATTTCAAAAGATAAAATTCTGTGGGAATACAACATCTGACTTTTATGATAATCACCCAAATTTATTGCACTGCTGGACACTGCCTTCAGCTACTTCTGACACAGGAAACACATCTGAATCCCACTTGTAACAGCAAAGCATTAAATCAGATTTAATTAGCTGCCTATACAAATTTTCAAAATGCAGTGCAATAAGTTTGTGTGATTATCATAAAAGTCAGTCATTCCAAAGAGTTTACAGCTATTCTTAGAGTAATGAAGAGGCTGTGATGTCTTTAAGGACGAACATGCAATAAGCGATTCTCACTGGCAGCCACTTTGTCACACATGCTCACATGAGGAGGAAGTAATTTCTTCAAAAACACCATCAATATAATAGACACAGTTATATTTCCACTGCTTCAGATGATACTGCACGTCTGCAGGAAAATATCACTTTTAATAACAGAACTGAAATATACACAAGGTACTAAGAAACCGTGTCCTTTGAAAAAGCCACATTTGCAAGCAACTCAAATTCAACTAGAAAGTCTGTTTCCACAAAGAAAGCAAATCTTTTTCTAAATAAACTTGCATTTTACAGAACAAGAATAAATGATGGGAGATATCAGTTCTGTGTGCATTAAGCCTCAATGAAATCAGATCTGCTTGCCATGATTGCTTTAACATCATAGCAAATATGATTAATGCAGTATAGGGGGTAAAAATGGTGGGAGAATGAATCTTAGCCCCAGTTCTGCAAAGATTTGTGGGTTTTTTAATGAGATTACATGCAGCAGTAAAGAAAAACACATCAGTAAGTATTCAAAGGACTGCAGCATTAGAATGGGTTCTTTGACTCATAAAGGACATTACACACAATACTTACTGAAATTGCAAACCTTTTAAAATAAGCATTTCCCAAAGAGAGTCAGAATAAAAAATAAAAAACAAATCACAGAAAAACCAAAATCAAACAAACTAACAAACAAACATAACCCAAAATAAATAAATAAAAAACCCAAACCACAACTTGACCACACAATTGTTTCCCAATTTATTGGAAAGAATTGAAACATACATCCACTATATATTTTGTCTTTATTAGGGGAGCAAGGGAGGGAGGAACAACAACTTTTCTGCTGAAATCTATAATGTATTTTAATTTAGAAAATTACACATTCAGCCTAGTTACAAATAAATCATATTGTAGAACAAACAGTGGCAATATGCACTGTCAGCCCAGTTAAAGTGCCCGTATTTCTTTCAGGAGCAAGAATGTCAACAGTAAAGTATTACTGGTAGACTTAGAGAAGATGGAAAAATGCATGCGCAGCAACATAAAAAACATTTTCCATACATCGTTTAAACTAAAAGAAATCCAGCTGACAGAAGAAATTATAGGAAAAAGATTTCAGAGTGATACTTACATGTCTTTGGGAAGATCAGTTTATAAGTACAGTAAATTTACTATATTCTCAAGCAGACCGAATAATTCCCCAATCTGGACACTTGCAGAAAAGTAAGCAGTTGACTCCAGGAAGTTCATCTACGACAAGACCATAACCCAAAAGGCCCAAGCTCAGGGAAAACATCCCACTATCCCTCTTTTACCCTACAGCCAAAAACTGCAGTAATGGAGATATGGGAAATCCACCTGTAGCACCAGTCAGAACAGAGGTGGTAGATTTAATGGTATTCGAATCCAGCTATTCCACAGAGCAGCTAAACAATCTTAGATGAAGAAGAAGATCCCTGACTAAAAGAAATTAAAGTATCTGTGTCTCAGAGGAAACCGTTTCTGCTGTACTGCCAAGCTTCAATCACAAGTCTCTTGGGCAGACATTTTTAAAGAATAGGTGACTGAAGATATGAGCAACAACCAAATTCCCATTGTTCATTTTCAGAGGGTTATGCACTATGCAATGTGAAATGCCAGTCTTTTGCACAGCTTTAGATGCCTAAATACTTTAAAAAAATTTTGATCATTCCCATTTCTAAGGCCAGAATTTCCTGAAGAAAAACATTAATGTGCAGATTTCACCATCCTTCAGTAATGGGAGTCATCCAAGGGGATAAGAAGTAGATGACAGTAGGCAGATGATACGTGATAGAAAATAGGTAGGTGAGGTCTAGGATCAATGAAATGTAACAGCATATGGGAAAGTGAAGAAGTTGACCTTGGTGGACAAATGGAGGAGATATCCAGGGACAACTTTATCTTCTGACAGTGGAGAGCACGCCACTGGAGAGAGTTATTACTTAGTTTGTCAGTCACAGGCAGTCACTAAAAGCCTGGATTTAATGTTCAGAGACTTCTAACACAGTCAAAGAAAGTTTATGATGCACAAAGCTAGTAACACTGGCTTTTAAGGATACTCAGAGTGCTTCACAGGACCCTTTGGCTGACCCCTGCGAGTAGCACATCCTTACCAAAAACCCAACTATCCCTCAGTGACCCCTTTTGTTACTATCATAGTTGAAAACCTTGACTGTGACTTTAAGTTCTGACCCATTAATAAAATAAAAAATTAAAAAATTTAAAATAAAGAAAAAGCAACTCTATGAGGAATGTGTGTCACTATGAAATGAAATATTGATGACTCAATTCTATGTGTTTGGATCTTTGTGCTTCACAAATCCGAGACATATTACAGTTAGGGTACGAAAATACGCAAGTATGTTTAAAAGCTGCAACCAACTAGAGAATAGCCAAACCAATGGTTATAAATCATGGAGAGCCTCTGGTTTGCAAAGAGAGAAAAATTTTTGAGTAGTCAATACCAGATAGTAAAGAAATAACTCTGGAATAACTAGAACTCAATCACTTATTGTGAGATAGGAATCAACCAACACCTTTAAGAGGCATGAAAGGATTCCTACTCAGCTGATCTGCAAAAGCTTGCAAAAAGCAAACAAGTTCTTCCCTTCTATTGCCTTAGATCTAGCAAATCCTCTGGAAGTGGAACTTTCCTATTGAGGTCTGCAATACTAATCCATTCTTTGCACTTAGCTTTTTCAGGTTTTTTCCTTTTCTTGGTGGTATATTCAAACTTTCTTCATTGTTAGAATTCAAAGATCTGGGATAACTTATTTTACTTTCAGTGGACTATAAAGCCAAAGGAGAGTCTAATCCACAAAGATTTAAGGAAAGGCAAGGAGGGATATTTCTTCTTACTAACAAATCAGCAAGAACTTGCTCTCTCTGAGATTTTAATGTCCCCCAGCTTTGACCTTCCTCAGACTTCCCACAGACAGAGGAACCAATCAAGAAGTGCAAGCATAAAGGGAAGATGACTCCAGAACCCAAGGAGACAGTATACATTAGAAAAATCACACGAAAGGAAGAACAGTGATATTCCTCAATCCTAAAGTGTGAACTTGGTTCATGTATTAGAAATTGTCTTACAGAGCATAACGATGAGGTCTGCATTGAAATGTCACACAGTGGGAAGAGAAAAGCCTGAGAAAAGTCAATATGAGATGAGGGGACATTGAAGATTTTTGAGAAGGGTAAGGGTTTTTCACACTTTTTTGTCTGAGTCCTCTCTAATATTATTTACTTTCAATATCAGCAAGCAATGCTTGAGGCTGAGCTCTCCAAAATCATATGGGTTCTCATTGTTACAAGTAACTTAAACCATAACGTTTTGGGACCTGAATTCCCTACAACAGCACAGAAGTAGAGCAAGAACATCGGAAGCAATGAGAGAAAAGAAGGAATATCTAAGTAGGAGAGAGAAAGAAAGAGATAAGAACCCTGAGAAGCACCTGGAAGCTTTTTCAGCCTCCAACCTGAAGAAGGAGAGCCTAATGCCACACGTCTATTAGCAACACTGACAAACCAGTGCCTTAGTGCCACCACAGCAGCATCTGTATATAAAGATGCAATGCAGTGACTACCCAGCACAATCCACATTTAGTCTGTCTAGAACCCAGAGAACTTGAAAGAAAAACAAAATCATTGAAAAAATAATTACTTATATAATAACAATATATATAATTACAAGCAAATTCTCTCTCTTCTGCACTATGAATAAGGCTGTAGACAGGTTCTTAGAGGTGAAAAAGGCAACTTATAACAATCTCCAAACTTTCAGATTCATTGCTAATTAAATATTCTTTTTGTCACTTCAAACTTTATTCCTAAACGACTATATTAAAAATAAGATAATTACAAAATATAATATTGCACATCAGAAGCTATTTTTTCCACAGTTTCCTATCAAAATAGACTTAAATAAACAGATGAGACATTATTACTAGTACTTAAAGAACATGTAATGCGTTTAGAATATTAGGTTACACCATAACCTTAACTCAGGGAAGCACTTAAATCCATTCTTCTTTTCAGAAATAGGAAAAGTCTTCCTGAGTCAGAGACTCCAAAGCAGAAGTATGAAATATCATATAGCTACCACTTGGGCATACAGTAAAGATTTAATTAGTTGGTTTCACTAATTCTTGAACTCCACAGCAAGTCTTATTCCAATAAATATAAGAAATAAGCCAATTCAATTTAAAGTGCAATTCTCCTTTGAGAGTCAAGTGGTCTCTATTTTCATATATTAATCTTAAAGCAGAACAATACAAGATGAAACAGAAATATGATGACAGCACCTTACACTTTTTGGTTATTCAGAAAGTTCGCACAAAATATTAACACTCACCAAAAAATAATATTCTGGTTCATATAGTTATGAACATGTTCTACTAATTCTGAAATGCTTCTGACACTTCTCATTATGAAATACATGGGCAGAGCAGCAGGTCTCCAAGTGGAAAATACCCTCATTCATTTCTCAAAGCTGTGTATTCAATCCTAACACCACTGATATTCTAACATCAATATTATTTTCTAGCATACGGAACTCATGAACAAAGAATTATTAAATGGACAACTCAAGTGCTTTTTGAATTTGATTAGTTAACCAAAAATTCTGAGATTCAAAAGCTATTCCAGGTCACAACCCTTCTCTGGACTGTATTTTTCCCCTCAGGATTTCTTTAAAACTACATCCAATAAAAATATAAAAAACCTACATGCAATAGAACATCTGACACTTTCCCTGGGAGACCTTTCCATAGCCAACAAGTTGCTTTTCCTCAGGTTGGACTTCAGTGTAATTTCATCCCATTGCCCATTCTCATGGAAGCAAGGAGAAAGAGGCCCAGGGAGGGTAAGAGGGGGGAAAAAAACCCCAGCAATTGCTAAACTACACTAAAGAAGTGTATAAAAGCAATTCAGCTGTGAAGTGTGCTGATGAAAGGGGAACTGTGAAGGCAAGGGTTAACTTTAGTCATAGTTTCTCAGCTTTTTCTTCTCCATCAGCATGGAAGAGTCACAGATGCACATGGATGGCTCCCAGGAAAAAAATGAACGTGGAAAAATGCTTGAGTTATCATTCCGTAATTATGACTTTGGGAAAAGAACCAAAGTGCCCTTCGAAACACTCATCTTCTTACTTCCCAGAATAGGAAGAAAAGCTCTCTGAAAGTCCTCATTATCACAGTCTTGAAAAGGTATCAGTCATGATATCTTCCCACTTCTCAAAAACAAATTAAACTACCCTACTACACAGCACCATTATTGTTTAACAGAAACATTGTACCATCTGTTACCCTGACCCTGAGAACAACCAGCGAGAGATTTTGCCAAGGCAGACATCATAAAACATCAGATTTAGTCTATAAGGATTTTTCTTCTCTCACAACTTAATAAATATAGTATCTGGCTGGTTATTTAATATATTCTACAGCTAAAGAACATATTTACTTTTTATTCTTCTTTCTCTGTGGCTACAGGGAATTAGTGGAAATACAGTTGAAAGAATTAGGGCAAGATGTATATGCAGACAGCTATTTTGAAAACAAAAAACTCCTGGAACATATCATACAAAAAGGATGAGAGAAGACTCATCACTAGTGTCAGCCACAGAAGCAAACATTTGTCATCTAAAACATATATAAGAGCCCAAATCAGTATTTAAAGAAAAATAATAGACACCCTCCAGGACTTTTCTAGTCCCAACTGCTATCAACAGAGCACCTGGATGTGAATTTTATCTCTGTCCTTCAGAATCTCAGAATAAAAAAAAAAAAGGTATGGAGATAGCCACCAATAGCTATACACTAAAATCCCAATTCATTTAGAAAAGAAAACATAAATGATTTGTTAATCAATAAAAAGAAGACTAAACAAGCTTGAATAGACTTCATGTGTTCTCATCAGCAACTTCCTTTCGGCGCTGGGCCCGGAAGTGGCGCTCAATATTTATTGTCACTTCCCTCTGCAAATTCCTGCTGTTAGTTTTTCCGGCTGTTCTGATCCAAGGGTGCTGAAGTACTTGACGTGCTGTGTAGCGCTTCAGGGGATCCACTATCAACAGCCTGGTTATGAGGTCTTTTGCCGCTGTTATGAAAAAAAGAAAAGGAGAGAGAGGGGTGAAGTACAGTGATGTGACAGTCCTGCGCAATGTGCTCTAGGATGATCCTGCTTGAGCAGGGTGGTTGAACCATATGGTCACTTGGTCCTTTCCAGCCTCACTCATTCTGTGATGTCCTTCTTATTTCTTTTTTTTTTACCATAATGACCTTTGCGACTATCCTCAGGAAATACTCTAACAATTGGATTTAGAATTAGTAACAGAAGATATTAGATCTCCATAACTGATGTCATTCTCCCATTCAGAAAGAGAGGAGGAAGTGAAGGGAATTTAATCTTGAAAGCATGCTGAAGGCATCAGGCTAGGTGATTAACAGGAATCACCTGTGCATTGAGTATCTCATCCCTTAATGATCATAAAAGTTGTAAAATGCTGTGGAATATGTTCTTTAAAAGACTGTACAGGGTGCAAGGGGGTTTTAGAGTTTCTGATTCTGAAGAGTGCACAAAATACACTGTACTAGCCTATGAGAAGGAAAAAGCTATGTGCAGACCCCATTGATGTCAAAAGAAAATCCACACTAGAGGGATGCAGGACAAGGATTTCATTCTCAGCTTTTGAGATATTTGCATATATCTTTACAATCTAATGTAACTCTTGAGATTATTTTGGTACCTTTTTCTACAGAGACATATAAGCAAGGTGAGGAAAATCCTTGCTCTTGCCTAGAAAGGGAGCAATCCATTAAAACATTCAGAGCTAATATTCAGAAACACAGACATTGATAGCACCAGAGGACTAAATTCATATCTAAAGCAAACACAGAATCACACAAGAGAGACCTGTAAGACATCCCATGTTCATTCAGCTCACTGTCCTGAGCAAAAGAGAGATTCCCCCACTCCAGGGAAGAAGACTGTCACTTAGATCTGCTATAAGTGCAGAATCTTACCTGCAGAAATATTGTCCCAGTAAGGGGAAAGGAACTCATAGTGACCCAGCTGTATGATCTGAAACAGCTCATCTTGATCACGGTCCTGACTGCGAAAAGGGGGAAAACCGCAGAGCAGAATGTAAAGGATGACACCAGCTGCCCACATATCTACTTCGAGCCCATAGCCTAAAGAAGAAGGGACAAACCATAAATTCTGTTTTAGAAAGAAATCTCACAGTAGGGAACTGTTTCTTGGAAATAGAATGAAAAAGAAACACAGAATCTCTGTTCAGTTCCTCAAAAAGACGAGGTCAACAAAAGAATAAATGGCTGGTATGCCAGGCTTACAAGCTGCCTATGATTAACCACAGCTCTCACAAAGTGTCTCTCTTCCTCAGCATGTTTCACAAACACTGCCTCACAAGGCCAGTGTCAATTGGAGACTAATTGAGAAAACACAGCATATATTTCTAAAATAGTTCTCCTCAGATTCCCTTCAAAAAAGCACTAACAGTGCCAAGTTTCCATTGAAACTGGATATAACTGGAGATGTGCAACCCAGCTCCACAGAACAAAAACCAGAAATAGCTTTACTTGAGTCATCTACAAAACTGACTTCTTTCCAGGTCTGAATCTTTTTACATATGAAATCTGAAAAATTCCCTCTGATGAGAAACATGTTTTGGCTTGTTACATAAATTTAACATACATGTTCGCAATGATTTTTTATCATTAGGCATCTTGGAAAGTTTTCTGGGTTACAGTCATGAAATGGGGCTGGCTACCCCTAACTTACACCATGAACTTTTGGTCACTTCCCCACTTCAGCAACTACCATCTATCATACTTCATGGTTTATCTGCTTGGAAGTCAGTGCTATATTCACGTAGGCAGTAATAATACAAAAATGACTGATTTCATGCTCGTGTTTGTTAAAAGCTAAAAGTTTTCCTTTCCCAGATTACACTGCTAACCAACTTCCTACCTTAAAAAGATTTATCAGTAGGTTGAAACATTCTGGAATATTTCCATTATTAGAAACTTCAGAGTAATTGTATGATTTATGAAAAATTGTAAATATATACACTCACCCTTCTCAGCAAGTATTTCAGGGGCAACATACGTTGGTGTTCCACACACTGTAAATATGGGTTTTGTAACCTGCTTTGCAAGGCCAAAATCTGCTAGTTTCAGTGTAGTAGATTTATCTGCATTGTGCTGAACCTATAACCAACAAAATATACATATATTTAGTCCAGATGCATTTTAAGACAGCAAAATACAAAGGAAGTCGTTAATAAAACAGGAAGAAGTTCTAATAACAGTACTAATAGTGGAAACAGTCTTCAGAATGTGGGGGTTTTCCCTATATACTAAGAGGTTGCATATATTTTAGAGGATAAGTAATTATGGAAAAAAGAAAACTTCTCTCTACAAACTCTGGCACACTGCAATTTCCAAGAAATAAAAAGAAGGAACAAAAAAAATAACAAAGAGTCATTTAAATGCTATTATTTCCTCTTGGGAAAGTAAACTGTTCTTTTTCCTAGGGAAAGTAAAGAATGCTGTGGGCATCTTTATACTTAACTGTAATAACTTTATACTTAAGTTACTGACTTTACAGTCTCATTTGATGTTGTGTTTTAGCCCCAGACAGCAACTAAGTACCATACAGCTGCTTGGTCACTCATCCCCCTTTTCCCCACAGTGGGCTGGGGAGGAGAATCTGCAAAAACAGGGGTTGAGATAAGAACAGTTTAATAATTGAAATAAAGTATAAAAATAATAACAATAGGAATAGTAACAACTGTAATAAGAAGGAAAGAGAGAGAGGGAGAGGAATAAAACCCAAGAGAAACAAGTAATGCGCAACACAATTGCTCACCACCCACTGACCCCTAGCACAGCCTGCCCCCCAGCAGTGACTAGCAACTCCTGGACAACTGTCCCCAGTTTCCCTCAGTTTATTTACTGACCATAATATTCCATGGTATGGAATATCCCTTTGGGTCAGTTCTGGCTGTGCTCCCTCCCAGCTTTTGGTGCACCTGCTCCCCGGCAGAGCATGAGACACTGAGAAGTCCTTGACTTAGGGTAAGCACTGCTCAGCAATGGCCAAAACATCACTGTGTTATCAATGTTATTCTCATACTAAATCCAAAGCACAGCAATGTACCAGCTACTAGAGGGAAAAAATAACTTTATCCCAGCTAAAACCAGGATACATGAAAAGCATACCTCCATCATACTGGTCTAACAAAAAAACAACAACAACAAAAAAAAACTTTACTTTCTTTCCAAATTACTCTGCTACTCTACCTGCTGTCCTGAAAATAAATTAGCAATGGTCACCACATAGGAAGAATTGAAGAAAAAAATTCATGCAGAATGACCTCCAAAACAGGTCTTTTCAGCAGTTCTCATCTCCTACATCCACCTGGCAAGTAGTCAAAACATTTTTTCCAATTCTAATTCTGTATGCATGTGTCTTTAGCATTAATTTGTAATGCAGCTAATGAAATGTTATTTTAAGAAATAAAATATGTTAATGACAGACAGTGGGATCAAGCACAACCTCAGCAAGCTGGCATACACCTCTAAGCTGAGTGATGAGTTTGATACACTTGAAGGACAGGATGCCATCCAGAGGGACCTGGGCAAGCTCAAGAACTGGGCCCATGGGAACCTCATGAGCTTCAACAAGGATAAGTGCAGGGTCCTACACGTGACCTGGGGCAATCGTCAGTATCAGTGCAGACGTGGTTGTGAATGGATTTAGAGCAGCTCTGTGGAGAAGGACTTGGGGGGGTTGGTGGAAGAAAAATTGGACATGAGCCAGCAATGTGCACTTGCAGCACAGAAAGCCAGTATCCTGGGCTGCATCAAAAACAATGTGACCAGCAGGTAAAAGGAGGTGATTCTGCCCCTCTACTCTTGCTCTGATGAGACTCCACCTGGAGTGGTGCATCCAGCTCTGGGGTCCATAGCACAGGAAAGATACAGACCTGTTGGAGTAGAGTCCAGAGGAGGGGCACTAAAGAGGGATGGAGCACCTTTCCTATGAGGAAAGGCTGAGCTGAAGTTGTTCACTCCGAAGAAAAAGTTCCAGGCAGACCTTATTGTGGCCTTTCAATACTTAAAGGGGGCTTATAAGTAAGATGGGGACAGGCTTTTTAGTAGGGTCTGCAGCAATAGGACAAGGGGCAATAGCTCTAAACTGAAGGAGGGTAGATTAAGACTAGACATTAGGAAGAAATGATTTATGATGAGGGTGGTGTAACACTGTCACAGGATGCCCAGAGAGGTGGTAGATGCTCCGTCCCTAGGAACATTCAAGATCAGGTTGGACGGGGCTCTGAGCAACCTGACCTAGCTGAAGATGTTGCTGCTCATTGCAGGGGGGTTGGACTAGATGACCTTTAAAGGTCCCTTCCAGCCCAAACTATTCTATTATTCTATATTCAAAGCCCAAGTCATAAACAATGTAGCAGGATAATTAAATACATTGGTATGGTTAATACCAGTGACTGATATTCAAACTCTTTGAAGGGTAAAAAATATGAATTTCCTTTAAATGAAAAACTGTTTGTCTCTAGAACCATGGGGAACAGATCAGCAGCTAAAATGTCTGCAAAAAGGCAAAGAAAATCTGGACTTCGGTTTTGAATGGACAAACTGGAATATAATGAGACAGGTATACTCCACGCTTTAACACCTCATACTTTGCCATCAGACACTGCTTAAGAAAGCCAAAAATTCAAGATGGTCTCTATTATAAGATAACTAAGGAAACAGATGGGACAAAATTTGCTCTTGTACATTACAGATGACAAATCCGTTTATCATCTTTACTGAAACCATAAGCAGTCATCCGATTTTGATTAAGCAAAGTGGTTTGGGGCTTCTTCTTTTTTTTTTTTTTTAAGAATAAAAGTATTACATTACAAAATAATACAATATAGCCTACTAATCCCTTTTTATCTTCTTTATAAAAAATGCACAGTACAAAACTGGGCAAGTGATTGATGCCCCAGAATCCTATGCAGCCGTTCAGAAGGATGTCAACAGACTTGAGAGACAGGTAAGGGTGGAACATTTTCAATTTCAACAAAGGCAAATGCAGGGTCCTACATCTGGGGAATAGCAACCCCTTGCACCAGTACAAGCTGGGTGCTGATCTGTTGGAAAGCAGTTCTGTGGAGAAGTAGCTGGGGATCCTAGTGGACAACAAGCTGTCGTGAGCCAGCAGTGTGCCCATGGAGCCAAGAAAGCGCACAGTGTCCTGGGGTGCATTAGGAAGAGCACTGCCAGCAGGTCAAGGGAGGTGATCCTGCCCCTCTACTCAGTCCTAGGGAGGCCACATCTGGAGTGCTGTGTCCAGTTCTGGGTTCCTCAGTAAAACAGAGACATGGAGCTCCTGCAACGGGTCCAGTGGAGCGCAATAAAGATGACTGGGGGACTGGAGCATCTCTTACAAGGAAAGGCTGAGGGAGTTGGGCCTGGTCAGCCTCGAGATGCCTCAGAGGGGACCTTATCAATCTATATCAGTATCTGAAGGGAGGGTGTCAAGAGGATGGAGCCGGGCTCTGCTCGGTGGTGCCAAGCAACAGGAGAATAGGCAACAGGCAGAAGCTGAAGCATAGGAAGTTCCATCTGAAGATGTGGAAGAACTTCTTTAGTGTGAGGGTGACTGACTACTGGAACTGGTTGTCCAGAGAGGTTGTGGAGTCTCCTTATCTAGAAATAATAAGAAAACGTCTGCACACAATCCTGAGTAATGTGCTCTTGGTAAACATCCTTGAGTAGGGGGCTTTGATCACATCCAGTGGTCCCTTCCAACCTTAACCATTCTGTGATTCCATGATATAAGCACTCTTCTAGTTTTGATTAAGCAAAACACTTTGGGTTTTTTTCTTGCTGTTTCAAGAAAAATATTTTTCTGTATGAAACTGAAAATAAAGTTTACTACAACAATGCAGCCAAAATTTCTGCAGGGAAAAGCGAAAATGCCATAGCCATTTTCTCTATTATATTAGGCAACTACATGATGATTTTTTGCCATGATACACTGTGGACACAGATAAAAATGAAAAAAAATAATTATAAAGGTAACGCTTTCTAGAACAGCATCTATCTACAGAATTTATATTTTAACAATAAGGCTAACAGTGATAGGATGCTACAAAAATTCACAATTTAAATGTTCAATTTTATATGTACTATGAAAATATGAGCATGAATATATTTTCCTATTGCATACATAATTTTTTTTAAATTATAAATGAAAATTATGTCACATGGAATTTCACGTGACTCCATGCTACTGTACTGAGACAAATAATACTGAAATGTTTATATACATTTTTAGAAACCAGTGGTAAGGATGGAGAACGCACTGGTCTTAATCCCAATCCCAGAATCATTAGGAAATTTCTTGCTTTGTAAAATGCACTTTTTCTTTCCTCAGGATGCCTGGCTCCTAATCTCCCATCACAGCACAAGGTGGCAACAGTGCACCATCTGTTCTTCCAAGACAAAACCACTGAGAGTTCATTTTACTTAACCAAACAGGTAGGAACAGCATGCACCATGGGTATATTTTCACAGCTTTGTGACAATCACTTCAAAGACAGCATGTAACCTGTCAGTATGCCTGCAAACCCCAGCCCAGAACTCCTCAGCAGCTTCAGTAACATTATGCTCAGAACAAATCAGTCAGCTCAGAGCATTCCCTTCATCCCCAACTTTGTACTCTCCAGTCTACCTTTCTATCACCTGGCATCACCTTGAGCATGCAAATATGCTTCACTGCAGAAACAAAAGCTTCTCAGGTTCCTTTTATTCATAGCAGTATTACAGACATGTACAACCTGCTCAAGAGAAATCTATCCTCTGACATCCACAGTATGTATTCCATGAAATGGTGAGTACAAAGCAAAAAGAGTAACATTAAATCACACTAGCCTTTCCAGAGACACCTAAAAGATAGCTATTACTCTTTCTGCATTCAAGACTGAAAAGAATTGTTATAAAAGTCCATTTAAAAGTGCTGCGTCCCCATAGAGTTAATTAAAGTAAGAAAGACCAGTATTCAGTTCACTTTCTGTAGACAGCCAATTTAGGCCATACAACTACTAAGGTCTTTCAACTGCAACGTAAGCCAACATCTGGTGGCCTTGGACTAAAGGCAGTCAGAATTGTTCACTACCTTCTCAAATACAAAAGACATGGCAGGATATCAGAATATTGCCTCAGGATTTCTAGCTGTCCCACCCATACAAAGGTCATAATACAAAGCCAAGTTCATCTTCAAAGAAGGGAAAAAATAATCTTTTCCTTTTCTTCTGTCTGTTGATGATTCCCAGTACTTAATGTTCTTATTTGGTTTAATATCTACCTTATGAAATCCATCAGGGTGTTCAAGATGATAATTTACAGCACTAATATTTCACTGTATGCATATATATATAATAGCACAGATTCTCCTAATGGACATAATGAAAGCAAGCTAGCCCATGGGATGTTTGGTATACTGGAAATAGATAGAGCTTAAGAAAAATTACTGCTTACACATTTGAGTTTCAGACACCTCTTGCTGATAGCTAGAAGAATCTCCATGAAAAATCATACAGAAAACTTCCTACGTAGGTTTATCATACTGAAAGTTCTTGACAGGTAAGTGGTTAAACAGGACTTTAACTCACATGTACTCAGACAACTGACAGTGTTTTGTGTGTATGTTAATAGAGTCACAAAGTTAAAGGACAGAAAGACTATACTTGAAGTTCTCACACTTTTATGAAAACTTGAGAAACAGGGGTGGGAGAGAAGCCCACATGCATAAAAATCTGTAACACTTATTTACGAAGTTGAGTGTTAAACAATTACAACATTAGTATGGTAGGGAAGTGTACAAGGAGATAAGTACACAATCAGAAATACAGCCCTATCCCTTTCCCCTAAAAGGAGGTGCCTTTGTGGCTTTGTGGCTGGAAAAACACCACCCCACTTTGGCATTAATTTCTCACTCACAAATCAAGAAATGCCAGCATCTGTAGAATCAAACAGTCCCTTATCTAAAAATGTGGCCAGCAAATCCTGCTCCACTAGGTAGCATTAAAGAAGTGACTTCATTTGTGGGACCAAACACACAACACTGCCCATCCTTGATAGCAAAGGTTTTCTCGCTGAACACCTAGTCCTAAATGAGGTGATTCTGTTAGCAGATGGGAGGCAGTCGTAGCAGCTGTCTTCACACCAGTCATCAGACAGATTTTGTTTTTGTAGCGCAAGTCACCACCCTTCTGCCTCACAGCTATGCTGCAAAAAGTCTGATCATTGTGGGCAGACACAGTAGTGAAAGAGGGAGGGGAAAAAGCAGAAAGGATGATGGCCTGGTACAGAAGTTTATAACTAGAAGATAGTTCCATAAGAGAAAGAAGTGCAGTAAATAATTAAACCAGGTTTCCAACTCTCTCCTGTGTCAATAATTTTACAATTTACTAGACATCAAAGTGTATTTCTACCTTTTCTTCTGTAGGGACAGAAAAGGTTTTCCTTCTTTCCCCAGCTGCTTATTTTTGGAAAACTTATGGAAATATTTTTTCCCCAGATTGCTGCTTCTCTGGCAACTCTTACAAAAATTAGCCAGTATGTTCAAAAGTCATTAAGTCAACAGCCTAAGTACATACCTATTTTTGACCTCTGTGTACAAAGTCTCGGTAGACTTATTCAGAATTAAAAATCTTCAGTGTAGCAATCTGAAGTGAAACAACAGGTATCCCACAACCAAGGACATCTCTGCAGGCTGCTGCAAACTTGAAGCACTGCACTTCATCTCCAGAAGGGTGCCCCCAGCCCCTCACCCACCAACAGCAGATAAACCCATGAAATTTGCTTCAATACTCTTTGTTACTGTTCAGCACTGGCTTATGTTAAGATTTGTGGCAGCTGTCCTTCCTACTTTGCTTCTACCACTGCTCCAGCCACTCTGAGGAGACAGAGGTAGCACATTGAAAAGTCAGAAAAACCTGAATCTTGCTCAAATGGCCCGTATTTATAAGGATGCTTATTAGACAGCACAGAACCTATCCAACACTATCAAGAAATTATAAACTCATCTGGTTGGTTGAATAGATTCACTTTCTAAAAGGATGCTTTAGGTACACTCAGTTAGCAGCAAGGTGAAACAGGAACAATTTTCTTTCCCAGAGTGTTTAAGTAACACTGTTCTTGTATGACAAAATACCTACAGTCTGAGAGCTGGTCTATCCTTGAAAAATACATTCTGGCTGTCAGAATGGGCAACATGATTATTTCAGTGCTACACAACAGCGTTCTGTTTTGCAGTTCTGTGAACTAAATGTGAAAACAGCCAGAACGGACCTGTACCTTGCCCCTCTTTGCTTACCTACATCACAGTACGTATTACAGAGAGAAGTGATGCATCTACTCTCAGGTGTTTCACATGCACTAGCTTGTGTTCAGCAAATAGGAAGGAGTAGAACCTGGTTCATAATGGAAAATCAGCTTATGGGAAAAGCACTGCAGTTCTAAATGAAGTTTTGTTCTAATGCCAAACAAAACACAAAGGTAGGGCCTACACTTCTTCCAGCAAACCACCCACTTGCACTCACTACCTTATATTTACATTCAGACCTCATAACAAGAATTTTCATCAGACTAAGCAGGACACATAGCAGGACCTAATATAGGTGTTATTGCTTAATTAAAAGATTCGAGACCAAACCATTCCAGCCCAGCCTTGTTCAACCTCTGCATGTCCTAGAAGCTACACTGCTGCTTTTCTCCATAAATTAATTCTATTAAAAGCATTGAATGGCACATAGGATTAAATAATCTATTACCTTTTTTGTCTGCCTAACTATGATCTTCCACAAAAGCAGATCAAATGCTACTTGTTAGAGACTGGCAAATATTTGGTATTTATCTGTTCGTCATGAAATTTGGAATAGAAGAATGTAACACACACTTAGAAAGGGAGAGTTGTTTACTGTTAAGGTTCTACAAAGGGTATCTTGTGGAACATCAATACTACAAACATTTCTACGCATATTCACATGTGAGTAACTCCATTGACTTCAGTGCTGGATGGAAAGAATGTAGCCTCAGAAATGTGATGGAAATAAGAACTTTTCTCTTTGGCATGAAGTTACTATTTGAGCTGCCTTTAATGCTGTATTCACCAAAACATTCACATTTTACTGTAAGATTATTTCAATCAACTACATCATACTTCTGCTTCTAAGAAAATAAGTTGTCACAAGATAGAAATCACTACAGTAGAGGATTAGCACAGCAGTCTGAAAAATATGTAACTGCAGTGGACAAAAAGTCTAACAAATAAAAAAGCTAAATTAACAATTTTAATAAATATTGGTCTGCAAGGAAAATGCCTTATGATTCATCCTTGTACACCTAAAAGTCAGATGCTAAGTAACAGGCCTGATTTCAGAAGAATATAAATGTTTGCTATCCCTGAAAGCCTGATAACTTTTACTTGAATTTCTATCTGCAATGCACACTAGATCTATGTAAAGAAAAACTACAATTGTAATTTCACTTCAAAATTGTACCCATTTTTCAAACAGTCCTGCCACAGGACATTATCTCTGCATAATATTTGCTTAAAAATATTCAAAGAAGGAAAATAAATTCAATTCCTGCATATATGCAATTGTTTGACAATACTTACCAAAAGATTTTCTGGTTTGAGGTCCCTGTGGACAATGTTCTTGCTGTGAATATAAACCAGTGCTTCACACAGATCAGTGATCATGACAGCAGCATCATGCTCTGTGAACTTCACACTTTCTATGATTGCATCAAATAAGTCCCCTCCTGGGACATACTCTAGGATTAAGTAGATCTCAGCTTCTGTCTCATACACCTCAATTAAGCTTACTATATTGGGATGAGAGAGACTCCTAATGATCAGAATTTCACTTTCCATCATGTCCTCTTTCCCCTTTAGCTTGGATTTATCAACAATTTTCATGGCGTAGATCTGATTGGAATCACAGTGGCGACACTCCTTCACCACTGCAAAGTTCCCATCCCCAATAGTTCTACCAATATCATAGTGTTTTTCCACATCAGTTCTGCTTTTAATGGCATACCTCCGGCTTGTGCTTTCCAATCCCTGAGCCTTGTTTTCCTCTTTATTCACTCTGCGCTCCCCTGTTTTTTCCCGTCTAGTCATGTCACTTTCTCTATGTGTGACATTCCCCTCTCTTCTGGCAGCTTCCTCTTTAGCCCTTTGTCCCTCTCTGACCTCCCTGTGTGTTTTAGACAGTTTCTCAGCATCCCTCAGAGTGTCTTTCTTTAGCCAACCACTTTGGTTCATGACACAGCTACTTCCATTATCTTCTTTCACTTCATGAGATAGATGGAGCCCTTCTACAGCATTCTTCCTGATTTTTACTACTTCCTTCCCATGGTTTTCATGCTTCTCCACATCCTTCTCCATGTTCCTTTTTTGCTTCTCCAGCCCTTCATTAACAATCTTTTGTAGGGGTTTCCACATCCTCCTACTGCCATTATCTTTCCAGCCAACTTCCTCACCATCCAGACAAGTTTCAGAAGATTTTCGGCAGTTCCTGATTTTTGCATTTCTTTCTACCTGGTACCTCTGACATGCGCCTGTGTTCAGGTCTCTATTTTCAAATGAGGCCTCAGCCTTCCTTTCCCTTTGTAACTTTTCTCTGGCCTGCCTTTCCTGTTCACACTTCTCACATCTCAGCACCTCCTCTGAACTCTCTTCTAAACCCTCCTCAGAACTCCTCTCATGGTTAAGGTACCTCTCACTTTCTCGGGTTTTCCTAGAAGGCTTCACTCCCTGTTCACCACTCCAGCTCTCTCTAGTCCACTTTTTTTTTGTTCTCATTTTTTCTTCTTCCTTTGTTTTGGCTTGACTTTTTCCTTCATGTCCAGCTACCAGTTGGGGAGACATGCCATCGCTGCAGTTCTTGGTAATTTCTGTCTCATCAAAGCCACTGTCTACTTTCAAAGCCTTGTCATACAGCCTGCTCTTCAGTTTTCGGGACTGCTCCTCATTCTGCTGAATGGCAGCACTGGCAGCATAAGGATTTTCAGGATAAAGTTCTTGTAATACCACTTCCAGGTCCTTCAAAGTGAGGGGCTCCCTCCCCATAGCTATGAACGCATCACCTTCCCTGAAAAAGTCAGAAACGCTTCGGATTTCTCTGCCTCTCAGATTGTAAAGTTTTCTCACACGGTCATTCTTCCAACGAGGAAATCCCAGAGCTTCTGAAATGTCAGCCATGAGCTGTTCAAAGGTCTGGACTGACCTCCTGTTGAGAAGTAAGGTTATCCTCCTGAGCGTGCGTCCCCCGGGTTTCACCACTGTAATTATCCTTGGCTTCACAGGGCTGTGCTCTGAATGTATCGTGTGAAAACCCTTGCGGGGACTGAAAAATGAGGACCTATGGCTGCTTTCACTCAAACATGGCTTCCCATAGTTCCCACGACCAATAGGAGGACAAGTCCCATGTAGTTTCCTCTCTTTTACTTTTGAGCTTGCATTGTGTGGCGAATGGTCCAACAAGCCTCGGCGTCCTAAGGCAAACAAAGAACAGGTATATTAATTATTTTGCATCATCAGACCTTTCTGAGCAACCATTTTCTGCATGTCAGTGTATGTTACCTCAGAGAGTAAGGGTAGGTGACTTCAAGGCTTATAAAGAACTTTAACTACCACTAAGGAGTATCTCCACATACATGCAACTACGAACACTGTCAAGTTTGCTAGAAAATGTAAATTCATTTTGTGACAGAGAAATGTCATTAAAAATAGTAATAATATTGAAAACAAACAGATCTTTCTTCTAATTCCTCTCATCTTTCAGAAGTCCTCAAGAAGTGCCAGGATTGCATCGAGTTTCTTTAGCATTCTCTTTAGAATATATCTACCATTACCTCAGTCCTTTCTGAACCCAATTACAATTCTGGCCTCTGTAAACCCTGTGGCAACAAGTTCCAAAATTACATTGCATGAAGTAAAATAAACTAAATACTTGTGTTTTAAAATTACTACCAGATGGTGCTGTATGTGAAACCTTACATTTCTATAAGTAATTATCTCCTCTTCACCTTCCCTGGACCTTCTATAACAAATAAAATAAATTGAATTCTTTTTTAAAGACATTACTTTTGCTGTAACTTTTACAGCAATTTTATAGATCATCTAATAGTAATGTAATGTAATCTTTTGTCTTAAAAAAAGGCCATCTTAGTTTTGTTTGATAACTGGAGTTCTGGTTTTCCAATATTTTGGTTTGACTTTTTTATTCTAAAAGTTATGTAAAATCACACGAAGTTCTGACTATTCTCTAGGGACATTAACAATTTTCCATCTGATATTTCATCTTAGAACATCAACCAAAGAAAATGGCACCATTTGTTACGCCTAATTGTGAAAAGGAAGAACTCGAAACATAACATCTGGTTATGGACAAACCAGGCTATAACATAATTCCCTGTTTATCAATACAACAATAAGCTAGGAATAAAAATGTCCCCTAAAAGTACTCTGATCTCTTGTACTTGTTAGGATTAAAACCTGATTACAATGCACTTATTTTCAGCCTCAAGAAATAAACTTTCACAATGAGATTACAGAGAGCTTCCAACTCCATTTAATAGCCTCGCACTTCAGTTGGGAATAAACATTCAATATATATAAACTAACAGGACCAAGACAAAAGAAAGTAGCCAGAATGTTTTCTGAACCATTACTAGGAAACTCCTATACCAAATGGCTTATCTCCCAGAGAATCCTGTCCGTTCTCTTACACTACTACGCTTGCATAGTCATAGTGCAGTGCGCAAATCCTCAAAGGAAATCTGCACATATGAGTGCTCCTCTTGGTGTTATAGGCTTAAGCTTACTACATTTTGGTTCTGAACTGCAGAAAAGACATTTTCAGTATTTCAAGCTATACGTTTTTATTTGTCCTTTTTCATCAAGGCAAGAGAAAATATGCCTCCTCGCCTAGAACGACAAACAAAAGGGAAAACTGCAACAGGTGCTGCAGCATTCTCCTGCTCTGTCTCAAAAAATAGTGTGTCCAAGAGGCCAGGGCTTGAGTGGTGAAAGCACATGAGGAGACACCGCTACAGAATTCCACTCTGCTGTTGGCTCTGCTTGATGTATGATGAAGGACACTTCTTAGTTGTGATACTCTCACCAGCTAAACACTGTGTGCCCCCTGGCATGTCCCTTAACTCTTGGCTTCACTTTCTTCCTCTGCCAAATGAGATAGATACTTCTCCTCCAAACAAACATTACAAAGAAGCCCAGCTGCCAGCATGCTGATTGAAGACGTAAGCATTATATAAGAGCTATGTGTGACTAATGCTTGGTGGTTGTATAAGTTATTTCTGTCTTCATTCTGCTTTTTAAGGATGATCTCTTGTTATCAAAAGATGACTACATATGTGCTAGTGATTCTTCAGCAATCGCATATTTACATTCCACCCAGAATAAAGCTTACTGTGAATGGGGAAGAAAAAAAAAAATCAGCCATAATAATAGTTCTCTGAAATCTAAATCAACTCCAGAACATGTTACTTACCAGGAACTGATGAAGCTCTGAATTTAATCAATGTTTCCAGATTCTTGCGTACACACTGTCATCAAAGCATTATCTTGTTTATGGGAACAGTGCTTAACATTTTTACTGCTTATGATCTTGGTACAACATAAAAACAATGGTGTGCCAATAACGACTTTTCCCACAGCTTATGTTCCTCCCAGCTATGCTGCTATTATCATACCTTTCTATAAACCACTGATTTTAAGTGCTTGGCTGCACTGTTGATTGTTTCAATTACCTAAGCATCAGTTATTTTTCCTTTCTTCACTAATTTGGCTAAGCTTGAAACAGAAGCCAAGTTTATTGTTTAATTCTATAACTAATGGAATAAGAGCAGTTTTATGTCATTATTAAAACAATGTAGGAATGTGGTTTTGTGCTTTTTAAACTGGCTTGATTCCTAGCGAAAAACAGTCTGACAAAAGCCATAAGTTAATACATAACAATTTTAGGAATAAGAATAGTATTGCATATTTTTCTAAGATGAAAAAAGAAAATTACATGACTGCTTAAATCAACGCATAAAAGAATCTTTTAATATTTTCCAAGAAAATGAGAAGTGTCAAATTCTGTCAAAGGGGTGGTCACAATGATTATATATTACATAAAACTGAAAATTCACTTCAATTGCCTGTTACAACTATTTCAGTCATAATTTCTGTTGTTTGTCAGTTATGCTATATTTAACTGATACACATGAAGCAAGCCTCAATCTGTCAGGAAAGTGCACACACTCAAAGCAGTAACAAGCATTTCTAGAAAGCCTTCAGAGGTCACACACATACCCAAATCCTTTAGCTACAACTTCTATTGCTTCAAAATCATGTTTCCATATTTATATACAAGTGGGAGAAGGAGGAAGAGGGAGGTGGTATCAGAAACACACTTCAATGAGTTCAAGTACTGGCAAATTATACATCAGAGAATAAAAGGTGTTCTTTCTTTTACTGTCCTACTGAGAGCTAATGATTATCAAATATAAATATTTCTTAGAAATGTTAAAATGGATTCATGCATGCATGAGTGTGTCTATTTTTATCTGTATACACATCTGTCTATATATGCTGGTGTATTGGAGTATCAGTGGTACACCATGGCTGAGGGGGATGCTGAAGCCTGCTGCTGTGGAAGGGCAAGGGCAAGGCAACACAGTTGGTCAAGGACACCTTGCATCCCACCAAAACTGCACATACTGGAACAGAAAAACCAGAAAATGACCTCACAGAGCAATACAGATCTCCATATGATGAAGACATGATGGTCTAACAAGGCAAACAATGACACCAAGTCGCTAGAGAAGCATGGAGTATAAGACAAACTGGGATTTGGGGGCTCAAACAGGTAGCAGGAACAAGAAACTCAGCACTTATGACCAGAGCACAAGTGCTCCCTAGAGAGAAGATGCATTCCCCTGAAAGGAGCACGGCTTCTGTGTTCATTTTTAAAATTTACAAATAATTTGTGATCGTCACAGTCCTTCCCACTGTGGGGGTAGGGGAGTGTGGGAAAGCATGGGGGGGAAACCACAAAAATTCCTCTAAAAGACCTTTCCTTGGAGTGTTTTGGATCATACTCTGGACTTGGAGTAAAATAAAGTGAATTCTGAAGACTTGAGCTCTGAAGAAGTTCTGTATACAGAACTTAAAGCAACCTGTATCTTAAGGAATTTAATAAGCTCAGTTGTTTAGAGCATGGTGCTAAAAATGCCAAGGTTACAGGTTTGATCCCTGTACAAGTCATTCACTCAAGAGCTGGACTTGATGATCCTTGTGGGTCCCTTCCAACTCAGAATATCCTGTCATTTGGTGAATTGCCTGGCTACGCTCCCTACAACAGCAGAGTAACAGGGTTTGCCAGAGGTCACATATTGCAATTAAAAATGTATTGCTGCCATTTGTCATTCAAAACTTATCCCTACCCTTGACCAGTCTATAAGTTTTTGTTCATCTTGAGTTCTTCTTGGCTCTCCTGTTTGAGATTACAGTTTCAGTAATTAACTGAATGGTTTACCCAGCAGCTAATTCTGCTATCAACTCACAGGTTGAAGTGGAATTAAATTTTTAAAAGGAGTTTTACCACACAATTTAAAACAGAAGGTAGCATTGAAATAGGATCTAGGTATGGCATTGCTTTCTGTGAATAAGATGGTGTTATTTAAACCCTGCAACTTCTTTAGAAGGCTTCCACTTACAAAAGCAACTGTGAAAACGCCCCAAATCATTAGCAGTATTCTTCACACAACTAAAGTTGCATATGACAGAAACCGTATATCTGGGAGTTGTTTTGATGTGTTGGTCTCAATATAGGAAAAACAAATACAGGATAAACAAAACACTGCTTTAATGGGATGGGAAAGAACAACAGCACAAATGCCTGTTTATTCCTTAAGCCCTAGAAATTCCTGCTGAGTAATTAAAAAAAAAAAAAAACTAAAAAAAAAAAAGAATAATCTTACTTGGAACCAAAACCATTTAGTTCATGTCACCATACTAACAAGTGTCTTCAAGCACTTGAGTGTCAAGAATGTTTCTGGCATTGAACTGAGAGCAGCCAAGCATGTAGCTCACACAGGTTACCAGTGTGCATCAGCAGTTGGTCCCAGGATGCAATCCGAGTCCTCTAGAAACATGCCATCTTGATCTCCTCTCCTTGCTGTAAATTATTAAAAGTTGCAACTTCCAGGGCTAGTGTACACTGTTAGTGCCCAAGACTGAAGTAGCAGTGTGGTGAGTCTCAATTCACCAAATTAGATACATGGAAACAAAACATGATCACAAGTGTTCTTTTACAGCAAGTAAATTTTACATGGGCATTATCTACAGCCCTAGTGTTGGAAACACCATTGATAAATTTTTCTCTGAGGAGCCTCTGCAGCATCCTCTCCTTCCCTGATGCTCATCCTCGCCTCCTCGCCATGCTGTACAGCATCTTAAGGAAGAGGTTTTGTTTGAGTCAGAGCTG